GGTGCATATAAATTTATAATACTTCTTCAAAAAATTCAGAACGAGAACGAAAGCTTAATTGAACAATTTATTCAAGGCAGAATTGCAAAAAAGATCCCGAAAGTATCCCGAAAACAACATGAAGAAAGAATTAAAAATCTTGTTTTAAGATTTAAAGATAGTGATCAAAATAGCATTGAGTTTTTAAGAGGCATTGCATATAATTTAAACTTTTAACTTGACGATATATTACACATTTATACAAATATTTTTTTTACTTTTAAATAATTTTTATAAATACCTATTTTTTTTACTTTTAAATAATTTATATAAATATTTTTTTTTAACAATGAATTATACTATTTTCGAACAAAAACTTATTCGAACAAAAATTAATTCGAACATATATTTTATCGAACACTTTTCATTCGAACACATTTAATTCGAACATAACATTTTCGAACACATAACCCCTCGCCCTTATATCGGCCAACAATCGCTTAGATCACGCAACACATTATTTTGCTTATTATCAATAAAAAATGGGATATGATATAACTTAAAGTTTGAAACTTGCTTCAAATAATAGAATTGGTCGGACCTACGTTTTATCTAGGGTTCAAATTTAAATTAATTTTTAAATAAAATGACACCAAAAGAGAGAAGAGAGAAAAGCAAGTATAATAATATATTTAGATGAATCGTCTTACTGTTGTAGCTCATGTGTGTATACGTTTCACATTGTGTAAATCTTTTACTATCTTAAATTTTTAGACCAAAAAATATCTACGCAATTTATGTAATAACCACTATATTTCATACAATTTTACAAAAAAATGGTTTGGTTTTATTTTGTTCAACGATTGTTATAAACTTAAATATAAAATTAATGTGTTAAATTTGAATTAAATAATTAATTATACAGAGTCCGTCAGAACAAACGCGTGTTTTAAAGTTATTAATACTACATGTGGGGAAATCCAATCGGTGTGAGAGACGGCTCGTTTTAAAGCTGATAACGTACAGTTTTAGTTGTCATCAATGTCATCATGGTGTGGAGTTTATAACAACGAGTGCTCGCACTGTTCGCAGTACGGCGGTACTTTCGAGGACAACGGACAAACGACCACTGTAAATTAAGAACGTTACATCGAAATGCTGATCCAATTTTTTTTCCTGAGCTTCAACGACGACGTGTCAGTATTAGAAAAGTGTGGTTTCAACAAGACGGGGCAATATCACACACAACTCGTGTCTCAATGGAGGTCCTTCGCCAAAAATTCCCCACACGTTTCATTTCACACTTTGAGGACGTTTCGTGGCCCCCTCGCTTCCCTAACTTGTCATTGTGTGATTTTTTTTTTGTGGGGTCACTTAAAATCAAAAGTCTATCAATACAATTCATAAACTCTAGATGAATTGAAGGACAAGATCACACGAGTTGTGGGTGAAGCTCCGGGACAGATGCTGACCGACGCGATAGACGCGTTTCGCGAGAGCCATATGACTGACATTATTTTCAAAATTTAAATTTTGTTACAGATAAAAAAACTGCAAATGTTTCTACATTTTTTGATGTAATAAAAATTATTTTACAGAAATTACTTTTAGCGAAGTATTATTTCGAAAAACATGCGTTTTTTCTGATGGTAACAACAACGATTCTAAGTGAAGACGAATTGTCAGCCTATAACACTAAGTATATTTCATGGTATTTTTTATAATATTTCTGTTGAAATATTAAAGTAATTTATCTTACTATTATTATTTATATTAGGTTGATTTAATCCAAAAACATTGCATGTATTACATTATTAATATTTTAATATTTAATTATTAAAATAATTCATAATTTTACGCCATATTATATTAGTTTTATTGGTTTATAAGCTAATACCACCTTGCCGTTGAAAATATTTAATTGATTCGTGGTATAATTGGGTAATATCTTAAAATTAATCTACATGTATGCAAAATATTGCGTACCTACAATAAAATTCAAATATATTTACCTCAAAGTTTTTAAATCCCCATGAGTATTATTTTTAAATTATAACAACAATTACCAAACATCGTTATTTATCGTTTAAACATGTAATTTTCTAAATTTTAATTAATGTTTTTATATAAAATAATAGCATTTACGTATATTTTTTAAGTTTTTTGGTTTTAGACGTTTTAGTTTAACCTATTTAATGAAGAATATTGTGTTATAAAATATAAAATTTATTTTAAGTTTTTATAAATTTCTTATTAAAATATTGCTTGAAAATTTCATCAAAGTTCCCAACAATTTATTTTTATTAATATTAAAAAAAAAAAAAAAATAAAAGATTTAAAAATTTTAAAAATGTCAACTGTCTAATTATTTTAAAGGTATGCAATGTATACTTTACAGTATACATCCAAAGTCATAACAATTTGAACTTCAAATGCTCATAAAAAATTAACTTCACTTTCCAGCAGAAATTTGATTTAAAAAAAAAAAAAATCGAAAAACTTATAAAAACTTTAACGTATCAATTTTTCAAACCTTATCTATAAAAAATAAAGATTTTATAAATTTTTTATCGAAAAATACTCGTAATTTGTAAAATTTTTGTTGACAATTTCAAGTTTTTACGGTTATTCGTTTTTAGAATTTTTTTTAAAATTGATTAATGTTCTCAAAAACTAATTTAAAATAAAAATTTACAATTTTCCTTAATTTGTGTTATTTTTTCCTGTTTATTATGAGGATGTCACACCCGCATAATATGTTATCTCCATCTTACACACGTACGACGTAGTAAATTTTCGTTCACCAGTTTCAATAGTGTACTTTTAGTTTTGATATTAAAGTGAATTGTCCTATCATTAAACTTTTAGTTAAAAACATCTTTGTTATTTCCTTGGTGTTTTACGATATTTTAATTTTTAAATAAGTTATGAGTATGAAAAATATAAATATTTGAAAATGCTTAAAATTTACTATGTCGTATATGTGTAAGACGGAGACAACACATGCGGGTGCGACACCCTCTTAAGAAAACGGCACTCTTCGGATATGTGGTTTACCGACATTTTTTTTGCTCAGATATGCGATCTACATATTATTATGCAATGTCATAATTCAAACAAACATTAAGAATAATCGTATGTATAAAAATATAAAAACCTTAACGATAAACCGCTTTAATGTCCTTCGAAAATGTAATAAATAAATCAGGAAATCAGGTTCTTCTTTTCTAGAAACTTTCCAATAATAATGGTTGAGATGTGATTGCAACAGTTGCATGGTTGTGTTTCTCGTCATTTTTATGATTTTTGTCTTTGCGTAGACTTGTTGTTCAAGTCCTCATAGTGAAAGCACTCATTCCCTTGTTGTACATAGTGCAAGATCTGATATCCTTTTTTTTGCACCAAAGAACAAGACGAAATTCACCCCCGCAATCGAATTTTCTAGCATTCATCATTTCACTAGCACACTATTATGGCATGGTAATGTTTCTTCAGCAGTATATTTAATAAATATAGGAGAAAAATAAAAAAATACTTCGTATACAGCAAATCATAGTATGGCCAATTTTATCTTTTATTGTTTTTTTTTATTGCGGTTCGGATATGCGGTAAATATGTATGATTGTAGACCGTGTGCTGTCGGTAGATCGCATATCCGAGCAACATCAAGAAAAATATTGGGGATATTTTACTTTTGATAATTTGATCCCCTAAAGCAGCAATCGTTTACTGCTGGTCCGCGGACCACTGGTGGTCCATAGACCATGATAAGAATTTGGTGGTTCACAGAAAAATTTCAACATTATTTGCAATGTTGTGTTTATAATCGTAATATACAAAAGTATTGTATAATGTCACTGTATATAGGTTCAGTTTACGACAAATAAGAATAAACGAGTAATAATATGATTATCATTATCGCATATTATAAAATAAATAGACCTAATAATATCGTTATCGTAATATGTTCTAAGAACACTAATGATTCAAATCCAGTCTTCATTTTAACTTTTATTTATTTTTTTTTAGAATCAATACAAATTGAACTTAAATAATTTTTGTTATAAATAAAAAAAAAAACTCTTTTTTGATATATTTTAAAATATGCATTGATTTATTTAATTTTTTTAATTTGGTATTTAAGAGTTATATGAGTACCTATATGTAAGTAGTCCGTAGAATTCAGAGTTATGAATTAATTGGTCCGTGAGGTCCAAAAGGTTGGCGACCACTGCCCTAAAGTATCAACTATATATACAATTGGCTATCAAAAATCACCCCTAAAGTTTAAATCGAAGAAGTTATAATATAAGATGACTTACCACAAACACGAAAACACAAACCATTATGATTGAAATGTTGTCTTGAAAATTTTTGATTTAATTAATCTATGAACATTAACTCGATTAAATTATTAATGCACTGTAGATATAATATTTTTGTATTATAGATCACTAGACAAAATAAAGAATTTTAGTTGGAGAGAAGTAAATGGTTTATTAACCAACACCATCACTACTTCACTGTTTTTTCTATTTTTTTTTTTTTTTAAGACATTTTTTCAAAAATAATTTAGAAATTTTAAAAATATTTACAGAAAAAGTACACTGATCTGTGTTTGATTGTTTAATTTTGAGAGGTTGCAACGGGCGCACAAAGGTGCACATCAGTTCATCAGTACCTAACCTAAAATAGAAACGTGAAAATTGTTTAATTTTTTTTTACAGTTAGTTTACTATAATTTTAAGTTTACTTGTACCGTGCATCTCGCGTGTGTATAATCTTTAATGATCTTAAAAATTAAGCATTTTTTTTATTATAAATTTCTAATTTATACGTTATTATTATATTTCATTATTAGTCGACCGCGGTCGGTCAGTCTAACGCAATGCTCCCTCCGACGGAGGCGGCGGTAACGCGCACGGTTATTCGCTGCAGACAGTTGGTCATACTCCCCCTCCCAGCGCGGCAACGAGACTCGGACGACGATCCCGCATGGGCCGCCAAAAGCTTGGAAATCCGTCGCCGTGACGGTAGTTCACGCGGACGTTGTTTGCATTCGTGTGTGTCGTCGTTGTCGTCGTCGTTGTCGTCGTTGTCGTCGTTGTCGTCGTTGCCGTGCGCGAGTTTCGCAGTGTTCCGAACAAAATAATTAACATTAATACTAGAATAAAATATATGTGCACATATAATAATATTATTCGTCGTAGAAGTTTCTAGGACCGTCGTCAACGTAATACAGGTATGTGACAGGTACAATAAAATAATTTTTTTCCACTTTATAGAATTATTGGTTTCAAAAATAAAATATAGTCACGACATTTTCTACTAACCCATGCACTTATGTATAATGCTTTTATGAACACACCCGAGTCTCTGACGACAGCGATCACCGTATTATGTAGGCGTTAGGCAGGTACACGGGAAAACACTGTAATCCGTAAATACCCGTCGGTATTTTTGTTTTCTCTTGTTTGGTTTATAACTTAAATACTTTATACCTTTTTTCCGGTGTAGTTGTTATGATGCTAATAGGCGATTACATTTAAGAGATTCGTTAGATTTTTTACACATTAAGTGTTAAAATAACTAGTTATTATTGTCCATCAGGCCATATTTTTCTATTGTATTTTATAAGTAAATATGTAGATTGACGTCTAACAAGTATAAAAAGTTTTTTCTTTTAATAAAACGTTGTACAGTAATTGTATTATATATATTATAAAATAAATAATATTATTTAGCCATCGGGTATCTAGTTATATTAACAAAATATGACAAAATTTTTGTATTATTATAAAGTATGCAAATCGATTTTATTAATATAGGTAATTGACGTTTTACATGGTATGTATAATATTTTATTTGATAAAATATATATTATAATAAATTTACATAGGTAGGAATATGTGACGGTGCATAACTTTTATTTTATCAGTATATTTCATCAAATATGTTTTATTCGTAAATTGAAAATTTAGTAGATATCTCATAATATATATATATATATATATAAAGTCTTAGTTACTAGATGAAAAATAAAACATGTGAATCAATGATTGCAGAAACGACATGAGTCAATTTTTTAAAACTTTTGGATAATTGATTAAAAGTGTATAATTTAAATAATTCTGAAAAAAATTCTTATTTATAAATGAATACTTGTAGAAATATATTATGCACTGATTATACATCATTTGTGTATATAAGTAATATGTTGTTTTTTTATAACTGACTTTAAAAGTTTTCTGACTCATGAAGTTTCACAAAAAATGTGACTCGTGTTGTTTTTACAATCATCGATTCATGTAGATAATATGACATATAAGTATATATTTCTTAATAGAAATTCGAAATTAAAAATACTGAAAATATTGTTGTTAACAATTTTAATTTACCTAAAATTTAAATAATAACTATTCCACAATTAGGTACTTACTACAAATACAACACATTCAGCTAACTAAACAATTTGTAGTATCTATGAATGAAAACGTATAATATAATTAACTTTACTCATTTATTTAATGTTCAAATTACCTATATTTAAGAGAGTTAAATTAAAACTATTTTAAATTTTTAAATTTTTATGATAATTATTATATTTTGTAACGACATAAGTAGGTAGTTGATTTAACCCGAGTTCACCTATGTATGTATTTCTGTATGTTTATATTTACGTATATAATCAAATTAATTGATTTCATCAATGCACGTGTGACTTAAATAATAAAAATAAAATTATGTTTACTTATAGAAATGTAAAGTAAAAGCTTGCAAATATTGATTAATTCTCTTACCTCATCACATTTTAAATATATGATAGACAAAATTTATTAAAAATACCTATAATTTGGGTTTTAATAATTATTATTTTACGGATCGCAGTTCTATGACGCATTATTATTTTTGGGGGTTTTTTAATTAAATTATCAATTGAAAATCATAATTAGGCATAAATATTAAGAATGTAAACGAAATTTGAAAAGATATATATATATATAATAGATTAAAAATATTTATTTTAAAGTATATAATATTACAACCAAAATTACCAAATAGTTATATGATGATATATAAGTAGTATTATAATATAATAGACATACATACATTTAAAGTAAACGCCCACATATTATTTTTTTATCACAAAGATAATATTATGTAAATGGCTAAATTAAAAATATAATACCAACAATTTCATTTTAATAATTAAAAACAACTATTTATTTAATATATTTTAAACTATTATAAAAAAGGCGTTTACTTAAATATTATTTTAGAGATAATTAATAAAATATAGAAAAAATATTTTTGATGAATTTTAGTTTTTACTAGAAGTTTGTAATGAAGTTTTTTAGATTCTAAGCAAAGCAACGCATGTATTGATTTTACAATAATCTGTGTGTGTGGGTTTTTCTGTTGTTACCTTTTGGGATATTGGGATAGTAAAAAATAAAAATAATTTGATTTTTAACTTAGGTAGAGGTTTTGGTAGAAAATTTGATCTAATTGATACTTTGAGAGCGAAAAGTCAAAAATTCCCTGTACTTTCCTCAATAGTGGAAAAGCATCTAAAAAAAAAAGTTAACGAAAAACGGAAATTTTTATGTTAAATCGGTTTCAATAAAATTAATTAATTTATTTTGTTATAATTTAAAAATAAATGACCATAAAAACTTATAATTTTCACCGAACAATTTTATAAGTGTGAAATTACCAAGTACTTATATAGTAATGTCTATCTAGATAATATAATGTTCAAAATATTTTGACTATTTTTGAGCTATTTATAAACAATTAAAATTTTTTCTTTAAAAAAATTGATTAAAATTGTATGAACGTGCAAAATTTTTTGACAATGTTATTAAAGATTTTACATAAATTGTTCTTATATATGTATGAAATTATTAAAATTACATAGGGAATATTTTTTTTATATGCATTTGATTTTTGAATTCTTAAAAAATCTGTTAAAATCATGTAATTACAAACTACAAGTATTTTGTGATAAACATTTTTAAAATCTTCAAATTTTATATTTAAGATTTGAAAATTTAATACAATATTCTTTAAAAGTAATTCATACTGGAGCTAAAAAAACTGAATAAAATACTTTTACAATTATCTTTTATAAAAATTTGAAGAAGTATCATTATGTATTTTAACGATGTTAATTATTTTATTATAAATCAAAAGCATTTGTCAGGGCTTACAAATTTTAAGTGCTTATATTATTTTATTATGAATTTTACTACATACAATGACATTTTCAAAATATGTTGATTTATTTTGAGATATTTGATATTTTCTTATACTATGAACCTATCCATTTTGTTTTATGGTATTTACAGTAAAATGATGGTTTTAACTCCAAAGTTAATTATTTGAAAAATTATATTAAGTTACCATTATTCTAAAATATCATTAAATATAATATATAGGTTGACAGACCGTCTACGCTCAGAATAGTTTTTTTGTTTAATAATATCATTGAATTCAAGCTTTAACATAACCATAACAATGACTGTCTCGTCACTTAATGTATTACAAAGCGGTATCAAGTTGTTTTACTAGTTTCAGCTATAATGTTCACGGAAAAAGTTTTTTCACAAAATAAATAAAATATTTTAGTACATATTTTTGTTTATTTATAAGTACCACCTACACTCCAAAATAATTGTTGAGATTGGCCTGATGTGACGCGGTGGTTGGCCTTAGTCACTAACGTGAACTGAGGTCAAGAATCGGTCAAACTCTCGGATGGGTGACCACCCGGTTTCTTAGCGACGAATCCATAGCACACATGTGTTCCATAACCTTATAAAACTTACCGGAGAAATTCAAAAACTACTATAATTTTTCATAGTTAATGGCCTAAATTGCCGTGCTTTAGATATTAAAAAAAAAAGAAGAATCAGTCCGTAATATTATCAATGTTATCAAGAATTTTTAAATTAAATAATAATTCGATGGATTTTAAAATTATTACAAAGATTTGGAATTGTTAAGATATTTTTAAATTTTTATTAGTTTTTTAACAAAAAATAATTCATAATTAATGATAATTTATTGTGTAAAATTTGTAAAAACATAAAATATGTTTTTACTTGCTTATAGTAATATTGTTGTTGGTATTATATAAAGGCTCAAGTAATGTAGCTTATTAATTTTGAACTTTAAATACATTTTAAAGTGTCTTTCATGTAATTTATAAAAAAATTAAGTTATTTAGGTACATTTTATTTTTATTTTGTACATAGAATTTAAAGTTATAAAAATTATTGTATAATTTTATAAAGGTTCTCTAGTTATTTTTCATAAAAATATGTGTTTTAATAAACTACTAACAGGATATAAATGGATTAATAATTAGACACTATTTTTGTTTAACTCACCTTTAAATAATCCAGTGTTATAACTATTATTATTTGAAATTTGGCTACAGTGTGCAGTTTTCAGAATATTCTTATTTCTTACTATCGAAATTAACAAAAATAATACTTACACAAAATTCAATACATTTCTAAAAATAAGCGAATCTCTATTGTATTGAATTCTAATAGCGAAAATGCTATTTCAGATAAATTGGTTATTACATTATTTATACTAAATGCTAATTAGTAATGGCGGTTGGAAAAAAATAAGTTATTCTAAACTAACGCCATTTCGGGATAGTGTTAATAAAGTTTCTAAGTGAAATCAAGAAATTAATTTGAAATTTATGTTTAAGCAGAAATCGGTTTTTAAATATATATAATATATATATGTAAATAAATTGTAAAACTATAAGTCTTAGTTTATATATGTATTTACATAATATATCGTAAGCTTATTAATCGTTGCATGGAAATATGGAATTTAGCATAATCAGATAAATGTTATATGATTGATAAATATAAAATTTAAAAGTAGGTTATTTATACTAATATATTTTTATTGACTTTATTAATATTTTATATTTTAGTTTTCAATAACCATTTAATAGTATTTAATTTAAAAATAAGAGTTATCTAACTCTGAATTGTATATTACTAAAGGGAATACGTACTTGAATCTTAATTTTTCTTATTAATTTGTTTATTGGCTATTGCACTGAAATAACAATAAAGACTAGGAGAGAACTAACATTTTTGTGACTTACTAAATTTTAATTTAACAAAATTTTTTAATTAAATCCAAAATATGCTGATTTAAAAAAAAATTATATGCATATCACATCATGACTATTAAAATTAAGTGCAT